CCATCACTTACAAAGTTGTTAGATTTATCACTTTGTTGGCAAAGAGGCCAATAAATAAGCTTCTCTCTGCTATAAGCACATGTTAAGTTTTTCTAAAACAATAATTCAAGTTTCCACTTTCATGTAAAATCTGTCCCTTCTGTGTTCAGCTTGTCATCAGCTGAATGCTCATCTAATCCCATTAACATAATGTGTTACAGTTTATGTGTTAAAAACAATAGCAAATTTATAATTATTAAAGTAAATTCACTGTTGCCAGATGTATTAGGCATATGTTCACCTTCTCACTTACTGATTGGAAGGCTAGCTTTGAGAGACAGCCCATCTTGTCCCTTGTCTTTGACCTGGGTTTCCAGAAGGAAACCTGGCGATGTGGCCTGCCACTGGGGCTTTGAGCGAATCTAAAAGAACAAAATACAGGAAACACTAAATCCTTAAGGAAGTGAAATGTTCCAACCAAATGTTGGAATGCTTAACTTAAAACAAGATAGGAGCATAAGAAAGATTCCAAAAAAGAGAAACCATTCAACCCATCAGATCCATTTGGTAGTTAGTAGTTGATTGATCCCATGGTCTCATGTAGCCATTTCTTGGGGGAAGACAGGGTACTAGTTACAACCACATGGCTAAGTAGCTTTTTCCATACTCCCACACATTTCTACATAATTTCTACCTTGTGTCCTCTGGTTCAAGTTTCACTGTTCATTTTCCAAGACATCTCCTCCACTAATTACGTGGTACTCCACTAATTACTGCATATCTCCTCAATTTGAACATTCACCGCTTATCTGTTTTCTATCTATTAAACAATTCTTAATTGAAATACAGTACATATCCTTGGATGCTTGTTGCCAGTAATTTGAGAATGAGCCTTTTAAGAGGGATTTTATCAAGGCCTATGAAAAGCTAAATATACCATAACTGTATCCATGTCTGCTATTACTCATTTAAAGAACTCTAGCATTAGCTAAGCTATACTTTTTTTCTAAATCCGTGGTAACTTCCCCCTGGAATCCTATTGCCAATAATGTAATTCCCTACATTAACTCTGATTTCCATAACCTTAGCTATAATAGAAGTTAGGTTTGTTGGTTTATTACTACTGCAGAACTATTCAACCCACAGATTTTACTATAGACAGTCCATTAATTATTTAATTGATAAATCATTAGATCAATATAGCAATTATGGCACCAGTTGTATCAAGGTACTGCAACAGAGTAGACTGGCCACAGGTTAAGCAGACCTATTCTGTTACATTTTCTTTTCCATCTAACTCTTGGCCTTTCTAATATATTCATTATATTTATTTTTACCGGATCCTGTTGTTTTTATTTATTTTATAAATTGATTTTGTGGTTAAAATTTTTTTCTTTGTCTTTCTGATTTATTGAACCATTTGAGTCACTCTTTTCCAGGCATTGATTACTCATGAGATTAATTTGTTATGTGCTTTAAGCTGTATATAATAAAGTATTGCCTTCATTCTCTAATGATTCCACACTGGAATTGAATTTGTCAAACTGAACAAATCCTTAATGGTTTTTTTTTCAATCTTTGTGAAGAAACATTCAAATCTCTGAACATAACCACTTCTTTCTTTACACATATGTAATATATAGCTTATTTATTATATATTATAATTACTATCTGAATGTTGTATGTATTGCATAAATTCAAATATCTGATTCACATAACTCTAACTCCTTTTGAATGATTTTTATATGTCTGACCCATATAGCGTAGATTCCGAGATTCTTGATTGATCTAAGTTACCTTCCTGTGTCGGAATGCTTTTTAATGTAGCACTACACCTTTACCTTTTCTCTCTTTCATGTGTCAGAGGAATCTGCCTAATACTGTACAGTATCTTTTTTTATAGTAATAGAATCACCTAATACTGTACAGCATTTGTCACCATCACTCTCTATCAGCCATGTTTCAGTGATCCCAGTTATAGGACTTTTACTTCTTGTATCTTATTCCTCCAATTACCTTTCTCTTTTTGACTCTACTCTCTGTGTAAACCCTTTGCAGATTTTGTTTGGATTCTTTCACCTTCCATTCTGGCTGTGTAAATGTCTGTAAATCCTACACCTATGGTGTACATCTGGACACCCTTGAGTGGGGACCCTTGGTCAGCACTGTCTCTCCACTGCCCATTATCTTTGAAAAAGTTGTATTGTACAGTATATACTGTAGAGGTAGTATAGCAGAAAACAATGTTCTTCCAGGATACCAGAACATAAGAGTTGTTATGTATTTTGTTTGGGATCATCACACAGTAATATTTGTCTCTATTTGTAAAATATTTAAATTGAAATAAAAAACAAAAGGAATGTAAATAAATCTTAATCTCTGCATCTGTTTTAGGATGTCTTGTGAATTGTATTTGCCCACCTGTGGCAGCTGAGGTAAAAGCTGAACAGGATTCCTGGATGCCTTTGTCTTGAGGTATGAAGAAGTCTGCAAAGAAAATGCAGAAGAAATGAAACTGTGATCTGTTATGTGTATTATAAAGTGAAATAAAATACTGTATTTAACATTAAAATTCAATGAGAAATCAGAAACAGATGATTAAGAGCCTGTATGACCATTATTGAGTTATTGACATGGCTCCCTGGTATAAAACGACAATAACACTGAGCTCAACAAATAACTTAATTGAACATAAATACAGTATGTATTATAGGTAGTTATATTAATTTCATTCTTAATTAAATAATGGTATAGTAGTCTAGCAGGAAATACAAACTGCTCAAACGTACTGTATGTCGTCATTCCTTACACTTTAATAACTGATTCTGCATTCTTTTTGCGGTTATCTTTTGAATTTCAACGTATCAAGTAGAAAATGGAAAATAAATGCAATTTTTCTAACATCTAAACTAGAGCTGTCCAATTCTAGTATTAGATGGTGTCTACATAAATTAACTAACCAATTTATCCGCTTCCCCAAGTTCTGAAG